TCACTCCACGCTCGCCGGCAGTGACAGCCCAGTGACAGTACCAGTCGAGAAGTGTCCTCCTGAGTCGCTTGCCAGAAGTCCTGCCCAGTTGCCGAGTTTTGTCGATGCCTCACTCGAGGGCACCAGCATGTCATGCCCCAGGTTGAGTGAAACCTGTAGCGACTCCTACGATGACTGCTTCACCATTCCAGAGGAGACCGTACCCTGTTACGTCACAGCTCAGCTGCAGCAATGTCTCCTGTGTTGCAGTATCTGTCCAGACGCAGGAAGGTGTGCAGTGATGCCCTTCGATGCTCACTGCCTATGACCACGATGTTTAGCACACCTCACATGTTTTTTTCTTCCCTCCCTGTAGGAAGTTTTTTTTTTCCATGTCCATATGTATATACATGATTTTATTTTGTGTTCTGTGCCCTGTTCCTACGAGAGAGAGACCGAGTTTTTTTTACCACTAGTCATGGTCGGGACGACCATATGGCAGGTGGCCGAGCGTATGTAGACAGCCTGTACTGTCTGCACAGACAGCCCATGCTGTCTGCCAGCTTAGTTCATATTTTGCACCACTCAGGTGCTGCCCTCTGTGCCTGTCCAGGTCTGTGGGAAGCTGGTCCCACACACTCGGACTCTCACAGCGGCCTGGCAGCAAGACAGAAGGCCTACTAGCTCTCTCTCGTGGGATGGCCCTCCTGGGCCATGGGTACAACCACGACTTTTCAATAAAGAAAGAAGCCTCCGAAGACGTCTATCATTCACACACCCGCTTTCATCATACCAAATAATCCGTTATTCTTCCTGACTACTCTGTGGCTGAAGAAATACTTCCTAACATCCCTGTGATTCATCTATGTGTGTGTGTGTGTGTGTGTGTGTGTGTGTGTGTGTGTGTGTGTGTGTGTGTGTGTGTGTACTCACCTAATCGTGGTTGCAGGGGTCCAGACTCAGCTCAGTGTGTGTGTGTGTGTGTTCTCACCTATTTGTACTCACCTATTTGTGGTTGCAGAGGTCGAGTTATAGCTCCTGGCCCCGCCACTTCACTGATTGCTACCGGGTCCTCTCTCTCCCTGCTCCATGAACTTTATCAAACCTCGTGTTTAAACTATGTATTATTCCCGCCTCCACTACATCACTTTCTAGGCTATTCCACTGCATGACAGCTCTATGACTGAAGTAATACTTCATAACATCTCTTTGACTCATCTGAGTCTTCAGCTTCCAATTGTGACATCTTGTTTCTGTGTCCCACCTCTGGAACATCCTGTCTTTGTGTATTCCTTGTCTATTCTGCACAGTATTTTATATGTCCTTATCATGTCTCCCCTGACCCTCCTGTCCTCCAGTGTTGTCAGGCCAATTTCCCTTAAGCTTTCTTCGTAGGACAATCCCCTTAGCTCTGGGACCATTCTTGTTGCAAACCTTTGCACTTTCTCTAATTTATTGACGTGCTTGACCAGGTGTGTATTCCAAACTTGTGCTGCATGTTCCAGTATGGGCCTGACGTAAATGGTGTACAGAGTCTTGAACGATTCTTTACTGAGGTATCGGAATGCTATACTTGGGTTTGCCAGATGCCCCTATGCTGCAGCAGTTGATGTGCTCGGTATTATACTCACCCCAAGATCTTTTTCCTTGCGTGAGGTTTGCAGTCTTTGGCCACCTAGACTATACTGTGTCTTTGGTCTTCTTTGCCCTTCCCAGATCTTCATGACTTTGCATTTGGCAGGGTTAAATTCAAGGGGCCAGTTGCTGGACCTGGCTTGTAGCCTGTCCAGGTCTCTTTGTAGTCCTGCCTGATCCTCGACCGATTTGATTCTCCTCATTAACTTCACATCATCTGCAAACAAGGACACTTCTGAGTCTATCCCTTCTGTTATGTCATTCACATATACCAAAAACAGGACAGGTCCTAGGACTGACCCTGTGGAACCCCGCTTGTCACAGGCGCCCACTCTGACACCTCGTCACGTACCATGACTCGTTGTTGCCTCCCTGTCAGGTATTCTCTGATCCATTGTGGTGCCTTTCCTATTATGTGTACCTGATCCTCTATCTTTTGCAGTAACCTCTTTTGAGGAACTGTGTCGAAGGCCTTCGTGCAGTCCAAAAATATGCAGTCTATCCACCCATCTTTCTCTTGTCTTATTTCTGTCACCTTGTCATAAAACTCCAATAGGTTTGTGACACAGGATTTTCCTTCCCTGATTGTGCGGATTGTTGATTATACACTTGTTTCTTTCCAGGTGCTCCACCACTCTCCTCCTGATGATCTTCTCCATGTCTTTGCATACTATACACGTTAGTGACACAGGTCTGTAGTTTAATGCCTCGTATCTGTCTCCTTTTTTAAAACTTGGGACTACATTTGCTGTCTTCCATACCTCAGGGAGTTGCCCAGTTTCAGTGGATGTGTTGAAGCTCTTTGTTAGTGGCACACACAGCATCTCTGCTCCCTCTCTAAGGACTCACAGAGAGATGTTGTCTGGTCCCACCGCCTTTGAGGTATCAAGTTCACATAGCAGCTTCTTCACCTCCTCCCCGATTATGTGTACCTCATCCAGCACTTGTTGGTGTACCTCCCTGTTCTTATTTCCTGGAGTCCTACCGGTTTCCACTGTAAATACTATGAACTCTCCCTCATCCTTCCTCAGTCTGATTACCCGGTCCTTGACTGTTGTTTTCCTCCTGATGTGGCTATACAACAGCTTCGGGTCAAACTTAACTTTCGATACTATGTCATTTTCATATTGTCGCTGAGCCTCCCTTCTTATCTATGCATATTCGTTCCTGGCTCTTCGGCTGATCTCTTTATTTTCCTGGGTCCTTTGTCTTCTATACCTTTCCCATTCTCTAGTACACCTAATTTTAGCCTCCCTACACCTTTGGGTAAACCAAGAATTTGTTCTGGTCTTCCCATTATTTCTGTTTCCCTTGGGAACAAACCTCTCCTGTGCCTCCTTGCATTTTGTTGTCACATAGTCCATCATTTCTTTTACTGGTTTTCCTGCCAGTTCTCTCCTCCACTGAACGTCTTGCAGGAAGTTCCTCATGCCTGTGTAGTCACACCTTTTGTAGTTTGGTTTCTCCCATCCAGTTCTTGCTACTCTCTCTACTTGTAGCTCAACTATGTAGTCAAAGCACAGAACCACATGATCACTAGCTCCTAGGGGCCTTTCATACATGATATCCTCGATGCCCGAACTACTCAAGGTGAACACAAGGTCCAGCCTTGCTGGATCATCCTCACCTCTCTCTGTGGTAGTGTCTTTAACATGTGGATGCATGAGGTTTTCCAGTACCACATCCATCATCTTGGCTCTCTATGTTTTGAGACCCCCATTGGGCTCCAGGTTTTCCCAGTCAATCTCCTTGTGATTGAAATCACCCATAACTAGTAACTTTGCTCCCCCATGTGAGCTCCTCTGGCTACCTTGGCTAGTGTGTCGACCATTGCTCTGTTGCTCTCGTCATATTCTTCTCTTGGCCTCCTGCAGTTCTGTGGTGGGTTGTACATTACTGCAATTACAACCCTATGCCATCCATTCCTTCTATTTTCTCAAATCATAACCAGTTTTTAAAGAGCAGTACAACTCCTCCTCCCCCTCTCCTCCCTCTATCTTTCCTGAGGATTTGATATCTGGGTGGAAAGATTGCATCTGTTATCATCCTGGTGAGTTTTGTTTCTGTGAGTGCTATTATGTCTGGGAATCTCTCCTTGATTCTTTCATGCCACTACTCACACTTATTTGTTATTCCATCTGTATTTGTATACCACACCTTCCACTTTTCTAAAACTGTGGTCTGGGAGCTACATTGGGGTTGGGGAAGTGGGAGACCTGATAAGGAACTATTGGTGGTTGCTGTGGGGGTAGAGTTTGTAATGAGGTGGGTGGGGGCATTGGATATGTGATGTGTATTTTGGGTTAGAATGTTTGGTTGCACTGGGGTTGTCCTGGTTGGGGGGCTTCTGTAGGTGGTTGTGAGGAAGGCTGTCTTTGATCCCCTTCCTGAGTCTGAGTTCTGTTTATCTCCACCTTCACCTCTCTCCTCCTTTTTTCTTTGTACCATCTCTCTCAGTTTCTGCATTTCTTCTTGTGTTCTGTCGTAGTCGAGATACACCTTCCAGCATGCTGGCATGCCCCTTAGTCTTGCTTTCTCCTGCAGGATCCTGTTCTGAGTCAATTCTGCCTTGAAAGTCACTTTCACTGGCTGGGTTCTTCTTGCAAACCCCTCTATTCTTCGAAAATTTGCCAGCTGGGTCATGTCATCTTCTCCTGTTGCTTTTAGTATGCTTTCAATCGCATTTTTCTCCCCTTGTTTTCTTGCTCCGTAAGTTTTCCTTCAACGTCCTAGAGCCCATGAACAAAGACTGACCTCTCTCTTTCATTCACCCACTGCATATCCTTATGTATCCACTGATTCGATTTAGTTTCCTCCATTGCAGCTTTCCTTTCTTCAGTTTCTTCACTATCTATTGTCCTTGGGCCCAGTGGCCTGTCAATTTCCCTTCTCGGCTTTCCCTGGGCTCTGCTGTTGTCTGTTAGGGCCTCCACAAATAGCTTAGTTCTTTCAGTTTCTTCAGTTCCCTCGATGGCTCCTAGTGTGTGTGTTTGTGTGTGTGTGTGTGTGTGTGTGTGTGTGTGTGTGTGTGTGTGTGTGTGTGTGTGTGTGTGTGTGTGTGTGTGTGTGTGTGTGTGTGTGTGTGTGTGCGTGTGTGTGTGTGTTTGTGTGTGTGTGTGTGTGTGTGTGTGTGTGTGTGTGTGTGTATGCGTGAGTGTGTACTCACCTAAGTGTGGTTTCAGGGGTTGATTCATAGTTCCCTTGTGTGTACTCACCTAGTTGTGGTTGTGTGTGTGTGTGTCTGTCTCTCTGTCTACCTGTTTGTGCGTGAGTGTGTGTTTTTTGTCAGTGTATTTGCACAATCATGTGCTTATTGTGAGTGAGCACTTGAGTCGAATACACTTTTAAAACTGCAGTTTTATTTCTCTCATCCCTATAACGGTCAGGTGGACTGGCTACACAACCTTACCAAACTCTCCGTAGCGGGTCCACGAGGCGGTGTAAGCGTCCACACGGAGAAAGCTGGTCAGCTGCTCTCCTCCAAGCTGTCTGTGGTGAAGGTAGCAGCCAGCGACGCCGGCAACTATACTTGCCATCCAGATTCTGTAGAACCAGCCTCCGCCACCGTATTCATTGTTGACGGTTAGTTGTATACATACTTGCACAGTCATCATTCCTATACATACAAGAACTCTTGTAAAATAATACACATGGATTAGGGTTATCTTTATTTTTAGATTGTAGATTTTTCTACAGAGCTCCATACGCATGAGTTTCATATTACAAAGAAATATTTAAGGCAAAATTGTTTTGTAATCCAAATAAATTTAATGGCTGCTACCAACCACACTTGTTCAAATCGTTAGGGAAAAGAACTGGCTCTTGTATACATATTTCCTCTAGCTGAGAAAATTGACTATTAGTAATGTGAACATTATAATTATTGTATGACAACTGAATATTTATATATAATAAAAAAATCAAAATAAGCCACTGATTGAAAATAGTTCTCTTCTGTGAATCAAGGAAAGAAGCACAATGATCACTAATATGAAGGATATACTTTTTACAATGGTTTCAGTATTATTTTCTTTTATCTGTGCTGCATCAGTCTTTTCGCTATGTCGCTCAACACCTTCATTCCTCGGTTGTGATGAATGGTTTGAAAAACCGACAAGTTGAAGATTGAGACATGCAGCATATGGGATTGATGGACTGAACACATCAACTCCAGGCCGAGGGACTGATTACCTCATACTACTCCTCTCCTTACGCCTTCCTCTTTGTATTGGGCTGATGAAGCCACTGTGTGGCGAAACGTTTCCTGAATAAAGATTCCCATATGCTGCATAAGTGTCTCAATCTTCACCTTCATTCCTCGCTAGGAAGCCCTGAATGAAGCCAAAGATGCCGAAGAAGTCATCTTATCTTATCTGCTACACAAAATAAAATAATGGAAATGGTGCTCTACTTGATTGTGTTTAAGTCGACCACTTTAGAGACATTTATCAATGTCTTCCTTCATCCTTTCCACCATCCCCTTCTTATCTTAACTATGCTCCGAGTCGTCAAAAAAGAGAACCAGCTCGTCGTTTAAATTTCTTCATAGTGGCTTCTGCGAGAGTTACGATCTCATAAGCCAGAATTTTTTTTTTTTCATAAAGTTGAGGTCAAACTCAGAGACAAAGTGCGGATCAAATGCTCAGAATCAAAACTTAAGTAAAATTTTGCAAATAAAAAATTGATAATCAGCAGTCTAGTCTCTTCAAACTTTGACAACTTGATTTAAGCTCTGAACATTTACACTTTCAATGAGTATATATCTTTTTGGCAATCTTCGAGCGCGGTACAGTCTTCCAAGACGTTGGAACTATGATGCCAGACACCAACCAGGAAGATGACTGTGATTTCCAATATCTTTTAACAATGGTTTAACAGTTGAAATCGCTCCATCGGAGTTACCAGATTTTCTGTATTAAAACATGTAAATTTATAATGAATCACAAGCCCAAAAAGGATGCTTTTGTTACTCTCTAGACCACGGGACTGCATAACTATAGCAGATATCCTTAACATCGTGGACAGATTACCTCGAAGAATGCCAGGAATCCTTGAACCAAGATCTTCATGAATCGAAGATGTCGTCATGTCACGTAGAATCAACAGGAGTGATTTCAAGTGTTGCACATTTATTGGAAGATACTGGAGATCACAATCATCTTCCTGAGTGATGTCTTAATTCTTTGCTTTCGTGGATAACATTTTTTGTCTCCAGAGACTCCTCGTCTTTCATAGACCCATCTACTGTCTAGTCCACTCGCAAATATCTGAACACATTCACTTCCTCCATACACGTATATTCCGTGTGAACTGGGGTAGTCCACTCGCAAATATCTGAACACATTCACTTCCTCCATACACGTATATTCCGTGTGAACTGGGGCAACAAGACACAGAACCACTGCAATACGGAGGGTCTTAGGGTCGAGGCCCATTCCCATTGCTGATATAGGAACTGTTTGGAGGCAGTCCCTGGAGTGATGTGCACTCACAGCCTGAAGACGAGCGGTCTCCCTGTCTGATGTTACAGCTCTGAGCATCTTGGCAAGCACCTTTTCAGCGATTGGGCCATCCCAGCTTGACTCTTCGTGAGCCAGTGCTGCACTAGGGTTTGGTGCTGGAGCAGCAAGAGTCTCCCATTCACTTATGGCACTGGCATAGTTAGGGTTCTGTATTCCTGCTGAGTCACTGAGGTTATCAGGAAGAATTTGTCTTATTAACTCGTTTGATGCTATGGAAGAGGATAGGAAAGCTGGTAGAGGAATCTGGGAGGATCTGCGTACTCCCAGCCCCCCAAGCCTGACCAGAAGTGAGGCTTGCAACCACTGTCCATCTTCAAGGGAAAGATTCAATACACTCTCTAGCATGGTCTTAAGGAGAGTGTCATATTCCTTGAGTTTCGGACTGCTGAAGGCTGGGGAGCATCTCAGAAAGTAAGTTTTGGGATTGACAGGCACCTGGTGAGTAGGTAGAAGACATCATGTGTATCAATGTCTTTCATCCTGCCTTCCATCGTCCGGAGGTCTGAGACTTTTTTTTCTAGGATCAGATCGATGGCATTGGACCCAAGAAGAGCACCAAGAAGAGTGCTATTGGCTGGATCAATGGCTCGTGCTCCTGGTAAAACAGCACAAATATTCTGGATCATCTGTCGATTGGTAGAAACTATTTCACATGATGGGGTTTAAAGATAGGTCCAGGCTTTCTCCCATGTCTTTAATTTTTCTAATGTCCTCTAGGAGAGATTCTGTTGTGCCAGCTAGGGTACCATCATCCAAGAACCAGATATTGAGCTCACTCGAGAGTGCTTCTGTGACTTCCTTGATGACCAAACAGAATAGAAAGGGGGCAAGAGGGTCTCACTGTTGCACACCCTCACATGAGTCAGTTTCATGGTCCCCAGACAATAGATTGGAAGTCACACTATAACACGAGTCTATGAAGAGATAGAGGGAAGGGAAGTTTCTATAAACTGCATGGAGAGCAGCATCCCTTCTGACTGAGTTGAAGCATTGGCAAAGTCCAATTTGATCAAAGCTTTTTCATCGGACATGTTGATATATACTCGTGCTGCATGGGCAACTGCTTCACAGCCTTGTTGAACACCAAAACCGAGCTGAGTTGGTTTCAGCATTGCAGCAGATTCTTGACTCACCTTTCTTACTGAAACCTTGGCGACTAGACGCCGAAGGGTGTTGCCCACTGCACTGGGCCTGATTCCTCCATCCTTTTTCTGGAGGGCATACAATGAGACACCAAAGAAAAGGGATCTGATGGCCTCTGGGACACTGCCAGCCAGGCACAGGTTGGAAAATTTGGTGAGTTCAGACAGCAACCTCTCTGAAACTTCACCAAGTGCTGACTGAGTATTTGATTTATGTGTTGAGGCCTTAAACCGGTGAAACCTCCTGCTGAGCCCTGTGGAAATGACATAGCAGCTTTATACACATCAGCATCTTGTAAGGTTAGATGTTCTTCGCCTGCTGCAATGTCAGGGAGGTCAATGTTGGTACTGGGAGCCCTGGGTGGATGTTTGCCCTTCAGAGCTTGCGCAGTACTGACATCCTTAGGAGCGATGGTATCCTCACTGGTTATAAGCCTCAGTTCTCCAATAGTACTACCCTCTTCTATTTTTTTTTTTTTTTTGCTAATTTGGGCTCTGATTTTTGAGGCGTCAGGTGTCCTGTTGTTGGCATTTGCCCGGCAGGTGTTCATCGCTCTAGGGAGGAGACAGACGAGGTTGTCATCCCTCGGGAATGCATTTATTGCCCTTATAACATGTGTTGCTAGTGATTTGTCCCTCCTTGGTGGGACAGCCAAACAGGCATTGCCAAAAAGCAGCAGGTTGTGCCAGGATCTGTTGTTTGAAGGAGCATCGTTGACTTTCTTCAGAAGGTCAGTGAATTTGCTAGCGGCCTGAGGACGAGCTGCTTTGGGGATGTGTGTCAGACTCCTGGTGGATGTTTATTTGATTGCAGATTTGAGGTCCTCTGTAGAGGTGAAGTCACGGTAGCTGTCAGTGCTGTCTGCTGGGAGAGGCTGTTGGCTGCTCTCATTTGGAGTTCTCCTGGAGCCTAGACATCCATTGTGTGCATAGATGTTGCCAGTTGTGGGATTGAGTGCACATTCCCTGTGGCACACCTGGCAGATGCCTCATGAGCGACGGCTTTGGCTCTGTCGTGAAGATTCCTGGGAACCTGGGACTTCTTGTGACATTGGCAATATAAACACAAATGCAGTATAATGTGATCCTTTATTGACTACGTTTCGCCCACACAGTGGGCTTTTTCAAGTCACCCCAGGTAGTTCTGTTTGTGACTTGAAAAAGCCCACTGTGTGGGCGAAACGTAGTCAATAAAGGATCACATTATACTGCATTTGTGTTTATATTGCCATTGTGTCGGTATTTTATACCATTTATTTCCTTCTTGTGACATTGCTGACATCGTGGGGGTGGGAGGGCGCCAGTTGTGGGGTAACGGGTAAAGGACAGCATGGATGCATGGGGGATGAGGGTGGATTATTATTATTATTATTATAATCAAAAAGAAGCGCTAGGATGAGGGTGGAGGATTAGCGAGCGGCAGAGCTAGTAATTGGTGGGGCATTAAACGGCAACACCCTTGGTCAGGAAGTCAGTGGGCCTAGGCTGGGATGAGGGATGGGGAACAGGGATGGGGGGGGCGGAGGGAGTGGCCCTGTATGTTCGCTAAAGATGCACATCACTGACTAACTTTTGCTAATTGTAATACACTTATTATTCCATTTATAAAAAGCCCTCGCCATTTGGCACACTAATCACCATGCTCTCACTATTAACCGAGGTGTTCTTCTGTTCAGCATCCAATGACGGTCTCGTGGGCGACCACTTCCTCCCCTAACCCGGCCGGACGCAGAGGTAAACAGAACCTCCTCCACACCACCACCACCACTACTCCTGAAATCCCAGCATGCGTGCACTTTCACTGATACAGAAGCAACGGTGTAATGCAGAGGATTGTCACAACTCTGTAATCTCCGGTGGATACTCACGATGATGTTTGCCGAAACTGGCCCATGTAAACCGTGTTGGTTCTAGGTTT